TGACGGATATAGTTTTCTCTTGTTACCGCGGTAAGTCCAATATTTTGTGGAACAAAGTTCTCCATTAATGATTTCCTGACATTTGTTATTGCCATACTAACCTGTTGTGAGCTTCGGTACTCAAATATAATTCGGAGAATGTCATCCGATAACCTATGTCTCATTTTGCATAAATAAGCAATTAAGTCTTTTCTTGAAATATTCCTAAAAGAAAAATATAAAAAAAGTAAAAATAGGAATTGTTTAAAAGATGCACCTAGAAGTATTCAGGTCTTTGAAATAGATTGTAAATGATTCCATTAAATAAGTACCTCAAAAGTTTTGCTAATCAAATAAGTAGGTATTTATAATTATTTTTACCTGTGCTGACCATTGTCCAGAACCGGATTGCAAAATGTGAAAAGATGCTGATATTGTTCTTTGGTAAGGCCTGATATGTCTTGGAAATCCTCATCGGATAATGAATTTTCATCATAAAACCATCTGCTAGATCTGGCTGCCAATATGCGTAGTTCTTCTAAGAACACTTGCAAGTCTTCTCCCGGAATCAAATACGCACGGTGAATATATTTTAAAGTTGGCATCAAAAAAGGTAGCATATATCCATTGTTATCTAAATGTTGTGCACAAGATCTTGCCCCATTTGGAACGTATATATTTTGAGCTATATAGATCTTTGCTCTTGAAGAAACAGACAACCTATGAAGATTCTCTATCGCATCGCAGATTAGGCAATTTTGTCTACGCGTTTGCTTTAAAACGTTAATTCTTACGCAACGGGGATCATGCTGTATTTTCTCAAGTTCATTTATTATGGATCTGTTGCAATTGAGGCAAATCCGTGATTGCATTTCAATGTCCTGCTCTGGAAAGCCTTCACGCTGCTGGCGCCTATCTCGTGCAAGTTCCATTTTTGGTTCATTGTTGGCATCGTACAGAATAGCCATTTGCTGACGATTAAAATTTCCATTACATGTGTAACAACGAATCAACAAACGATTTCGAAAAGCCATTATTAAATTAAAATAATCAGAAAAAGCAATATTTGAATATTTTCAAGTGTCAATGTTTGTTGATATTCGACGCAAGTGACAGAAACCGTCTTTTGTTTTGATATTCAATTGTTATGCTACACCGTCTAAACACTTTATTGCGTCATTTTTCTTCGGCTATCGATACATAAAAAATGTCAAAGTTTTGTGAAAATCTGGCCGTTTGTTTTCAAGATACAGAACATCGGTCCAAAATGGTGAGCGATAATTTTGCATAATTTTGAATTGTAATAAAATAAACCTCTATATAAATATTTTGGTTCACCGTGTATAAAAAATTAATTTCACATTTGAAAGACCATACTATAAGCATAATTCTCAAACAATATTTCGATCAGAAAAGTAAGGATTTAATTATTATAGGCTATTGTTTAGATTATAGGAAAAGTTTCAAAATTCCCCTTTGTCCAACTTTGAGCACCGATATCTCGGAAACTGAACATAGGATCGAATTGGGCCCACGGAGACATTTGTTCAGAACATCAAGGACTAGCACATACCAACTTTTAAAAAAAATTGGCCGAAAGCCATTTTGCATTAGAAAAGTGAGGGGTCCTTTAAGTGAAAGCAATTAGTGATAAATGTCAATTAGTCCAAGAAAATTTGTTGTTGTTAGTGATGACAATTTCAGTGGACCCACGAAATCCGTAACCCTTCCATTAGTCGCGCGTGTATCTGAGAGATACATGCCTATTATTTTTGCAAATAAATCAAAAAGGAAAAACCCTATAATATTATGGCTTGTAGTAGTCCTTAGGTACCCTATACTAATCACTTTCCCAAAATTATATGATCGTACCTCTATTTGGAAATTTGGAATTTCCAAAAAACTAGGGGTGCGCTCGGCTTTGTGCCTGACTGATACAACGAGACTTTTCTTATTACCAGTGAAGATGGAATTCGATGAGACAAAATTCCTCCCAAGCTGACTCGGAAGAGACCACATAATATGGTAAAGCTGCCGGGCGTTGTTGGCCAAACTGCAACGACTGCGAAAACAGAATCCAACTTCTGGAATCTCTTTTTCAGTAAAAAGTGATTGTTGAGTACACGAATAAATACATAGAAATTGTAAAACCGAAATTCATCAGATGGTTCAATTTTTTTATCAATGACTTAGTACATGTATCGCTGTGATACAGCGTGACTAATGATGTTATAAAAACTCGCGCGCCTAATGGAGGGTTAAAATACCTTAGACTAAGAGAGAAAAATGCGTCTAAAAATGATTTTTTTTTTCTCTGCATCATATTAGGACTACATTTGATATATTAACGCTGAATGCAAAGCACCGCAGAAAAAACCAGAAGCCTTACTTGATTGAATACATGTTATTTCGGCCATCATTCTACTTTCAGTGTGAATACGTAAATACGTCAATATGATGCATGCACGGAAAAAAATCCCTTTAATATATTGTATTGTAAAAAATATATTATGGCATGTACAATAATTTTATTACGATTTATCAACCTTGTATAATATTAATAATCACATATTTCTAATAAACGAAATAATAGCAATGTATAATAAATTATATAAAAAATTATAGTAGAATCTTTTGTCATAAAAAATGGGGTGTGGTTTTTATTATAAAATATAATAAATTAGGTGTCCTATTATACCTGTTTATTAGGTCTATGGCCTATTTTCTCATAGTAGCATTTTAGCATATTAGGTAGTACAGTTTATAATACATAAATACTAAAATATTCAAATTTTACTAACATCAGTTTAAAAAAGGTAAAATTTTATTTCATAAATTTCACTAACAAAGATTGTACTGTTTACGCACCCAAAATTTCTACACCTTTTGGGATATGCTTTTGCTTGCTTATTGCTTTAGTCTGCACAGAACTTTCAGAAGGGAAACACGCGGCATTTCCTCATATTCGTACTTCGTTATTGTGTCTTGACTGTCCTGTATCCTTTTCCCATGGAAAGTATGAAGAAGATATTGAAAAGTTTTGATCTTTCCACATCAGGAAACATTTGAATGTAAGTATCACTGAACTATAAAATGGAGCGTATATTTTTTCAAATTTCGTTAATTTGAAAAGATTATAATTTTCAGCTAAGTGATCTAGAATTTGGTGTAGTTTTCCGAAATAAGGCCAATAGAGACTTTGCCAGCAGATACTGTGACGAACTTTTCTATCGATCAAAACTGGGTACCTGATACGCCTCATTCTGAGGAACAACGACATCCAGGATCTACCTCCAGAAAAAAAAGTAAGTTCTTGATTTTTATATGTCTAGTAGGTATACAATATATAAGTACCTATTTTGAAAATTGTTGCTAATAGTCACTACCAAAATACAAATAGGATAATAACTTGAATATTTTTATTGTAAATTTTAGGCTTGTTTAGAGGATCTGGATGTAGTTCAACAAGTAACATCAAAATAATGGATTGTTTGATGAACATCGATTATGTATATCAAAATGGATTTTTTTTCCTGAATGATACCTCATCGACGAAATATTTCTGAATGATACACAGAACATTGCCTAGTTTCAACATTGTCAGGTAATGATTTAATTTTCTCGAATTGTGCACCTTATTGTTACCTTAACATATACATATATACCTTATACTATATGCAATAAAAAATGATACCGAAAAATATGTAAAAAATTGTTTTATTTATTATATACCTACCTTAGAAATTATGAAAAAATATAATAAAATTTAATATAAAAGTGTAGTACAATTTATTATAAAACTATTGTATTATTTATTATAAAACTATTATATTATTTATTATAAAACATACTACACTTAAAAATCTACGTATTATTGATCTAATAAAACTGTATTCTTCAATTATATTACATCAAGTAATAGACTTTATAGTAAATTTATTGTGAAACATTTTAAAATTTTATAATATCGGTAATGAGAAAGGATACTTATTCTCAATAGAAAATCTTGTATATTGATTATTAGAAACATATTATATGTCTTATTATCTTAGGTAATCGTCCCATATGGATTTATATTTTTTAATAAAGCATATTATATTTTTATTATTGTGCACTATATAATTTTTTCCGTGTGGCGAGAATTCAATTTTGGATGCGTTTTTGAGTTCACTCTGTATATTATAGCCAAAAAATTTTACTTGGAGGTAAACTTCTTGGTGAAGAAGTCCAGAACATTTACCAAGGTCGATACACATGATTTCCTAATATATAATTTTTGGAGGTACCTATCAGTTTTAAGTTGTGTTTTAAGGTAATCTTCTGTTTCTGTTACAATATGATCTTTTTCAAGTGTTTCATAATATGAAGGTCCATTAGTTTAGATTTGCGGATTTTTCACTACCTATCTTCAGATTTAATAATGATGAATTTAGAATAAATTTTCTCGTCCTCCCCTAACTTAAATATATTATTAAACTGGTTATGTTCAAGGAGTACCATCGATTGTTTAGCCATATTAATTGGTTGGCATAGAACATTTTTCTCCATTCTAATTAATAAAGCCAGCCGGGAAAAAAGAAATAGACTGTAGGTACTAGTATGAATAATTTATTTGTATAGCCATAAATACACAGAAAATTAGTTAATGGAATTAAAATATAATTTTTTGCTGGTATATGTGAAGGGAAAAAAACATTTATTCGTGATAAGGCTAGATAATTCACATTTACCCAATTGTTTCTCATCCAATTAACTTGATCAGATTAAGCTAAATTTTTGTTTGTCTCTTTCGGCAAATGCATGCGTAAAAATAAATGAGTTTTCTCGTGTTGTGTGGCCAAGGGCTAAATACATCGGTCAACGGAACAACAAAAAACAAAAGAAAAATCCTTTTTACTTTTTTTCTGCGAAGAGTTTTCTTTAATTTTGTTTTTGAACCTATACGAAATCGCCGGAAACAAATTGCCACTTTATCAGTTAATACACGTCTTAATTAATAGACAATTTCAAATGTAACTTACGGTCCTCTTCGGTACGGCAATATAAAACGTCGCTGATAACGCCATCTCCTGCACTTGTGTATGCTAACACTCTAATGGAATAGTTGGTAAATTTCTGAAGACCATGAAGGTAAGTTTCGGTACTTTGAGTTCGTTTAACTTCACCTGTGACTGGAACATCTAAACAGAAAAATAACACCATATAACATCAACTATACAACAATAAGATCCTATAAAATATTTTCTGAGTATAGGATTCAATATATTAAATGCTGATCAAATTAGGCTTCTGCAAATTTATTTTATTGATGCATTTATGTAATTTGTGGCAAACCCAACGGGTAAATGTAACCATAGCTTTCCAGGATAAGATATCTACCTCTTCCCTCCGTCCCACACTCCAGAGAGAAAAATCATGCTTTCCATAAAGGGAGTAAATAGATGTTTTATTTGAGTCATGGGTTGTAAAAATAAATTCCAACTTACTCTTCCTGATTTCATTTATCAAGGTTCTAGCTTAACACCTACAATCGGCGAAATTCCCAATTTAAAGTAGTAATTATTTTATTTGCCAAAGGATCGGCCAATTCGGCATCCAAATCTAATAAATATAAAGGCCCCCACAGACGCTAAGTTTTTTTTTGCACAGGCGGACTGTGTGAACCTCCTTTGTGCAGACATATCGGCAAGTCTGTGGATACTTCCGACCGACTGTGCAGGCTGTTGGCCCTGTCAATATTTGCTTAAAATTTGGCCCGCAGAAACCAACATACCTGAGCGTGTTGTAGCAATTGAGCTACTTTGTCATTTCATTATTATTTTAAGTATGTATATTTTTTATATTTCAGGTGTTTTTAATTGTAATCACTGGTTTTGCTGTATATATTAATTATTGTAATGCATTTAACGCAAGCATACCTATTTCCATTTAAATTTAGGTTTAGATTGCAATTAGGAGTGAACCTGACTTTAGTACTGCTTCCATTCAAGTGGCACCAGTCCATCTCTATTTATTGATTTTCGCCCAGCTCTATATCCTTTCAATGCCATCTTCGGCTAACTTAATTCTAATTCTACAATTTTGATTGCACAGGACCTTACCTTAGGACGATTCACTCTTTCCTGGTGGCTCGATTGGGAGAGTCGACGTCAGTAACGTGAGCGAGCCCTTTTGTTTTTGGCCAACGTGCTGAATTTTCTGAAAAGTTTCCTAAAGGGGTTAATCCCTCAAATTTCTTTCTCTGTGGTGCGGAGTGCCATTTATGGCTAATTAAAGTAGTAGTTTGTTCGTCCACTCGGCCACTTTTTTGGTGATTTTATTGGAACATGCTAGGTATGTGACTAATCCTTTTTTATCTTGAACATCCCTTAAGTTTATAATTATTTCTCCAGCCTATCTTGATTTGCAACGTCCTTTGGTGATGCCAGTGCCTATATCGCGTACCAAATCATGGTATAGGAACCCCTTATTTAGGGTGAGTCATGTAATTTTGTGTTTTATTATAAACTTAATCAGTAGACAAGCTTTTTGTCCATTTCACCTTTCTTTTAATAAAAATAGACCATCAGTAATTGAATTTTCTGATAGGATCCTAGTGCTAGTCCTACTCCTACTTCTAGTCCTACGCCTTCCCTACATCCAGGCCTAGTTTTGGGCTAGTTCAGTAAGCACGGCATGCTTCTCTGAGGTCCCTGTGTCCTTGCTTATGGGGTCATTTTCTGGTCTTTGATGGATAGTGCCTATCTTCCCTGATGACTCCTCGACATGGAAGTAGTATATACAGGTTTCTCTATGTTTAATTTTTACCTTATATTTTATATGTTTTTTGAGCATTACCCAGTTGGGAGTCTCATTTCCAGGTTTGGTTGGCTGCTCGGTTAAGCCTGTGAGTTGTCAGAGCAGAAGACTACGAAATCGTTCAATATTGTATATTTTTTAATTGAGCATTCCCTAATAAATGGAATGACTCCTTTCTATGTTCAGTTTGCTGTCCGGTTGAACATATGAGTTTTAAGGGCAGATAGACCAGTAAAAAGGGTCTTTATTTAAATAAAATGATCGATAATTGTTATTATTTTACAGAGTAATATTTAATTTAGGGTGATACTGGGTTGGAATCTAATTATTCTTACATTCATGTTTTTCAATATCTTTCCATTAAACTTTCATTAAACATAATTAAGTGGAGAGTATTGCTGTATTATTTGTTTTTATTCATGATATTTCAGATTTTATATTGAGGTCTATTTCGGAGTTTGAGACCTTATAAACAAAAACTTCGTGGCGCCCTTAGTAAACACCCCTTACACACGACCATAAATCCTTTCCGATGAACAGCAGCCGTAAGCAATAACACCTTTTTAATCCAAAGTAATTATAACGTTACAGTGTGTGTGCATGTTCGGTTCATTTCGTCAGTTTATTTGCTCAGTGAGTTTCCTTGTCCATCCAGGTAGTTAAACCAATCCTGTTTCTGAAGATGAAGATTCATATCGATAACTAAATTGACACGGGAATAGTTATTTCTTTTAACTAACCAATCTTTGGTCCATTTAGTTTTATTAACCGTTAACTGTTGTTTTTTTGCTTTCTCTTCACAAACAAGCAGAATACAAGACAAAGCTGTATTGCGAGAAGCCACTTTCACTGTAGAACAAAAAAATATGCTTGAACTGCGTTTGTTGTCCTGCGTCGAAAGAACTGTGCTAAAAACTGCGCGTGTGTGCGAGGGGCACAGGTACAGACTAATTTGTGCAAATTGGCCTGCACAGTCAGCCTGTGCAAAAAAACTGAGCGTCTGTGGGGGCCTTAGCAATATAGTGAAATAAAATGAAAAATCATATTTTTTCTCGGAAATTAACGATGAGAATGTAAAAAAGACCCTTTTGAAATAATTTTAAAAAAAATTACGGTTCTTATAAAAAACGCGGTTTGGGATGCAATCAAACAGTGACACTATTCCTGAAACCTTGACGTTATTCCGGTTTAGGCTGGGCGCATATTGATAGGGAAGACAGAGGATACATTGGACGCGGGGATATAATGAACTCATTCGAATTTAACGCCTAAATCTCGTTTATGGCGCCACTGTAGCTAAATTAGGCGTAGAATACCCCAAACTATCTGTTGGCAGTTGCAAATCGCCACCTATTCAGGTTACACATTTCAGGAGTTACAGGAGTATTTTATTCATTTTTGGCTGTTTTCTTGTACATTTTGAGGTAAGTTCTGATGCGTTTTATTGCTTTTCTTGTAGTGCTTTTGATGTAATGTGTATAGACTCCATAATATGCATTATACAGATTATATTGAGTAGCAGTGGATAAGAAATAAAACGAGAGTAAGAGACGTTAGAAAGGAGGTAGCAAAACTAAAATGGAAATTCGCAGGTCACAATATCAGACAAAAAGACGACCGATGGGATAAATGTATCTCAAGCTGGAGACCTTGGGAAAATAAAAGAAGTAGAGGAAGACCCCAGATGAGCTATGCGGATGACCTGAAGAAGCACGCAGGAACCAGGTGGATGAACATGGCAACAGACAGAGAGGAATGGAGAAGACTGGGGGAGGCCTACGTCCAAGGATGGACTGAAGAACGCTGAATAGATAGATAGATAGATTGAGTAGCAAATTGTTTTAAATCATAATGTGATTTTCTAAAAATAATTTAAATTTTATTTATTTTTTATTATTTTATGGCGCCAGTAGAGGATACAATGGACAGCTGTCTATTATATCCCCGACTTGTCCATTGTATCCCCGACTTGCCCGTTGTATCCTCGCGGTCTAAATGAAACATGATTATTCTATATCAGATGGTAGGTAAATACAGAAAAAACAGACAAACAGAAATTTCTCTGAGGGAGATCTACGAAGAGCCGTGCAGGCTGTGTTGAATAATGCCGGCAGCTTGAGAAAAATAGCTGACCTGCGCAATGTTACAAAGTCTCGTGTGGCAATGTATTTGAAAAAGGCAGAAAATGGACTGGAGAATATAACTTTTAACCCTAATTTCAGGAACGGACAAATTTTGTCAGATGATATGGAAAACGTTCTAGCAGAATATTCACTGAAAGTTCGAGCAGGTTTTATGGGCTTACTCCTAAAAAGACGCGACAGTTAGTCTACCAGTTCGCAGTCAGAAATTTGGTTTCAGTTCCAGAATCATGGCGAACACAGGAAATAGCAGGTGAAGAATGGTTCTCAGTATTTTGAAATCAAAATCCGAGACTCTCAGTTCGAAAACCGGAGACTACATCTTTTGCACGTATGACTGCATTTAACAGAATCGTTCTAGGTGGGTTTTTTGATAAGCTTGAAAATGTAAACACAAGGCGCACATATGAGTTATGCTAGATTTTTAATCTTGATGAGACTAGTGTTACTACGGTACCTTCTCTTCAAAAAGTTGTGGGGAAGAAGGGAGAAAAGCAGGTCTGCCAAGTAACATCTAGAAAGCGTGGTGAACTGGTTACCCAAGTTGGCATTATATGTGCGAATGGAAATGCTTTGCCTCCGGTATGGATTTTTCCCAGAATGCGGTTTGACGAGCATCGGATGATGTCTGAAGCAACGCTGGGATTCATGGGACTTGTACATAAATCAGGCTGGATGACATCAGGCAATTTCATTAAGGTTTTACATTTTTTGTAAGAAATGTTAGATGTAGCAAAAACAGTCCAATTTTATTGCTAATGGATAACCACGAATCCCACCTTAGCGTCGAAGGGATAATTTTTTGCAAGAATAATGAAACAATTCTCACGTTGCCTCCGCAACGTCGAATATAGACTGGTGAACATTCCCAGAAATCGTGCTCTATTTTACTCCGAGCGGCATTTCGTGCGACATTCGGCAACTTGACGTTTCTAGGGTATTTCGACCCTGCTGAATCCGAATCCGGATGTTGCCAAGCCGAATTTTGCCTCCAAAGGCCTCAAATCCAAGATGGCGGTCAAACTAAGGGCCTAAATGACATTTTTCTTAAAGTGTATCGTTATTGACCGGCGAGATGTCGTTTCATATATTTTTGGGGTCGCTGAATTTGAATATAAGTACAGGAAGTCGATTCGGATACCGGAAGTACCATAATTTCAGATGGCGGCCGTCGGGGGCCTAAATACAGAACTTCCAGAAGTTGGCAATGTTGGCATATTGTCAAGTGCGATGTATCGGCACATATGTTTTTGACGTCGACTAGTTAGCACTAGAAATCGATTAGGCAACCGAAATTACTGTAATCCAAGATGGCGACCGGTTGTGGCCCAAATACCAAACTTTGAAAAGTTGCTATAATATGACGTGCTGAGTATTACCACAAGTTTTTTAAAGGTCGCTGAACACGAATTTGAGGTCGGAAAAGCCATAGGAAACATGTTAACACAGGTTTGCCGAAATAAAGTAGTACAACTATACTTTGAGGGGTAAACAAAATGCACAAAACATTTTACATGAATACATCATCACTATCATTGTTGTTTTCGCAGTCTGCCTGACACAGGCACAACTTGGTGCAGACCTCTCCCTCCCGCCTGCACTTGCACAAGCCTGTGCCGCACCCTGACCTGCAGCCACAACTCTGCGTGCAGGACTTGGGCACCGCTGGCAGGGTGGTGTAGACTGGGATGTAATTCTCCTCCAGACGCCATCCGTACCCGCAAGGATCAGGAAGGTCTGGCCTTGCTATATGTGTATTCAGTCAGACCCCGGCTTGGTAGGTGGCTCGGAGAATGTGAAGCCGGGCTGCATCAGACGTAGCTGGGAGCAATTCAGGACTTGAAACTTTTCCAAAAAGAATGTGTCTCGCTTCATCACAGGTATTTTCTCTTCTCTTGTAGAAAAGTACCATGAATTGCTCGCACTTTGACAAAAATCTCTCCTGAACTTCTGCAACTGCGAATCCATCAAGAAGCTTAAAATATGTATGATATACAACTAGAGCACCTCTCTTTCCTAGACCTGTGATATGAATTTAAGTAAGTGTCTAGTGCAGCAAAAATATACGTAAAAAAAGTAAAAATGGATACCGACCTTCTATGAATGAGTTAGTGTCACAATCGGTCAGCGCATGGAATATAAGGATATTGTTTCGCTCACTGAGAGACATTGACGCTGTAACTGTATGAATAGGTAGGTACGTACTTTCTGTCCTCAGCAGTACCAGCCATCATAAAACATTCTTTGCATTTCATTCTCTTAAAATGGTGCAGGAGCAAAACAAATACGTCTGTGTTTCTTGCAGACACGACAACTCTACTGTGCGTACTGTTTACTACATGGAGGATAATACGAGTATGAGCCTCCTCGTGCGTAGATTGCAGGGAAGAGCAATCTATTTCATTGCTAGCAGATACTTGCAGTTCATCAGCGAACCCTCCAGCGACAACCACTGTAGTCTGCCCGTAATCTGCTGTCAATATTTCATTTGAAATAAAAGCTTCTAACTCAGCTTTGTTCTCATCAACCGCGACATAGTTGGAAGAGGCACTGTTCTTAACGTTAAAGCCTTGCGAATTGGGCGTGAAGATGCAGTTCTCTTCTGTCGCGTTCCAGCTTTAATGGATAGTTTATTGTATCTGTAACATGAAATAATTAATTATGTATAAAAAAGGAAATAACATCGTTTGGAATAAGCCTGAATGTCAGTATAAAACTTAGTTACCTGTCAAAAAATACGTCAACTTTTTGATAGTTCAAGCTCATACTTCTAATCCTGTTCGTTACAGCATTGGCCAGGTCTCCAAATGTTTGCCCATTTTGTGGCTTTCCAATGCTCATAATAAGCGCTTGTCCGTCAATTATGAGGTGGTCGTTCCCTCCAGCAGGTAATTTGTTTGAAACGTGAACATTTTACGTCAATACCTTCATGAGTTCTGCTTTGCTGCCAGTATGCACTGTGCCATTAGCATGCACAAGGGGCAGTGGAAAATTGTGGAGCTCATGTTGTTATATCTCCTTGAGGTCTACAGCTCTTCCTGCTTCATATGCCGTAATTAGGCGTTGGAGAATATTTCGATCTTGCTTGTTGTTTTTTTTGACAGGCATTTGTTTTGACTGGTCAACTTTATACAAATTGTGAAAGGTTGGGGCTGCATTCAACTTTACTCTTGCATAGAAGCTTTCACTTTTTTCTTGGCTAAGACGGTTACTTTTAAACTGAGAGACTTGCAACATGCCTTGCTCTTTATCTGTGAGGAGAGACGTTTTAATGCTACATTCTTTAGTGTTTTGTCAGGTCCAAAATTAAACATGCCGAAAGATTCCATAGCTTGGACCAAAGAGTCTTCATCAGATTGATCCCTCTCCTTACGTCCTGGGTACAATTTAGCGTGCAGATCAGTTGTCTTTTCCAAGTCAAACATTTGGTATGTCTTTCTTGAAACGGCGGCGTGCCAACAGTATGTCAAAACCCATCGCTGGGAGAGAAGACTGGTCTTGGACAAGACTAATCACTCCGGAAGAGGCCTTTTTCACCTCTCCTCCTAACCACTCTTGAGCGTGGTCTGGATCCACCTGATTAAAATTACCAGGGCTGGCTTTTATTAGCCGCTTTGTCTAAATGCAGTTTCGACCTCAGACGGCAATTCGTGCATCTCAGCGATGTACACACTCAGAAATTTGAGGTAATTGTGGTGGTCATACCTAGCCATGAATGGCAACATCTGGGAGAGTGATGACAAATACAAATCCCATTTACCGTCACGCATGGACCTAGTAAACTCCAACAAAATGTGCGCCATTTTTACATACGTCATCCAAAACTGCAGCTCTGCGTTTTCTGTCGAAGTCACCCATTCATTTATTTTCAAAAATATATCATTTTGTTGGCGAACTTCGTGAAGACAAATTATATCGCAGGCAGATCTCGTCAATTTCACTGCTAAATCTGGATCCACATTAAGAAGATACTGCTAAAATATTGGGAGGTTTATTCTCCATAATGCTTGCAACGTCAGTTTTATCAGTCGCATTCCCTTACTATAAACTTTCCCCTCCGTTACTTTTCAAGCCATTGTTTCTGCTGCAATTCCACTTTCCACCCAAAGCTCTTCTAATCCGCTGCCAATCATATGTTTTCCAATCACCTTTAGAAAATTAAGTGACAAGTGCAGACCACCCATGCGCAAAATGACTCTTTCTTGATAGAGTTCACACGACCATTTTAGTTCCAGGAGACGACAGTACACCTGTTGATCAGCAGTCACAATAGCGAACTTTTGATCAAGCTTATCAGCGAGTGAAATAGCTCTTTGCAAAACTGTGCGTGAGGTATTAAACTCATGGGCAGGTTCTAATATCATGGGCAAATACCCGCTAGGTGTAATTTCAGTATTGTTAACTGATATTGCTTTGTTATATGCAGTCCAGCCCTGACGATCATTAGAATGTTGGCGATTGGATATGTACGTAAATCTTGCACTTTCGCACTTACGCGACTTTCTCAGAAACTTCCGAAATGTCGTACCAGTCTTTCCTATCTTCTTGTAAATTAGGCTCAATAGTATTCAGTTTTACATTAGTTTTAGCTAGTACCTGAATAGCTTCGGGGATCTTCACTGACTTAGGTCTGGAAAGAGTGATGCTGCTAAGAACCTCCTCAAGAGAACGGGCACCTCTTTGGAATGCTATCAATTAATTGTGTTCCGTGAAAGGATTTCTTTCCATCCAGTGTGTCCAATTGAATGTCAACATTATCAGCCGTAAGATGTAACAGTGCAAGAGATGTTTGTCTAGGTTCCTGTTTCAGATTAGCAGGAATAACAACACCCGGAAACAACATTTATTTTTCCTTATTTTACCTATTGCGGTAATGAATTATGTAAATTTAAGAAAATTATTACGTACCTGATGTATAATCTACAGTTTCCAGAGTTTTCTCTGCTAAAGCAATGTCAAAATGTAGAACTTGGTCGTAGCTATTACAGTGTCTTGCTCTATTAAAAAGTTGAATAAGTGACTTATTTCTGGTCTCCTTATGTAATTAAGTTATACCTAGGCCAATGTGCTTTGGAGTAAGCTTTTTGCCTCCTCCTGAGATAAATATTATATCTTAGGCCACTGACAGTATTTTGAAATTATTGAGGGAATTTAGGCGATCACTCTTAATAGTGTTGCCGTTTTCATCCCTATGATTTTCAATTTGTTGAAGACCGTCCGTACCTCCTAACATAATACTCAAAAACAAGTGAAGATCTTGGAGGATTAGGGATAATGCATCGCTATTCTCCACATTTGCACCAACGTGGCCATCCACATTTTCCAGTGTGCTTCTCAGTCGTAAAGCTGTGTGCACGATGACGTTAAAGTCGCTGTTTTCTGGAGGAGTGTACGACGGCATTGTGCATTCGTTGTCACCATAGGCGGACTTCATAGTCAGTGTATGAGAAAATTTGTTGAGGATCAGAAGTGTTTCACGTTTACTATTTTCTTTATCCATCGGGTGATAAAATTCAAAGACATCTTTTAATCGATGTTCCAGATCATACTTGAGAGATGACATTCTTGACAAGTACTGTGCCAGTACCTGTTCACCAATACCCGCGCATAGCGAGGTATATCTTTTGAAGACAACCGAAATACGGAGTACCTATAAAAAATTAGAAAGCTGTTTTGAAATAGATACAAACTTTAAAATATACTGTGGGGTTTCAATATATTGTTCGTGAGTACGTAACTATGATTAATCTGCAGCAACTCGTAGCTCGTAGCAAATCTTGTCAAATGCCAAATTAACAGGGAGCTTTGACGTGCTACCAGCCGCTGCTTCACATTTTCTTTCCTCTCGTCTCAAACAATAAGTGTGATACATAACGTCACTAGCAACAGCGTCGTGGCCACACGCGACTCTTCTCCTTATGTCATAATTGTACACAGAAACCTTTATAATCTTTTCACAAATTGCAAATGTTGCTGCTTTTCTTATATTTTTGTCGTCCCCCGGAGTCTGTAATAGAATAATTATATTTAATTGTAACATATGAAACAAGAGCGAGCCGGTTTTTTCTACTGTAGCGGGACTAACCTGACAAAAGATACATAGATTTTTGTCCGTTCGTGCTGCAGGGTCAGATCTTAAAATTCTGACAGGTGTTGGGAAGTCTTCGAAGGCACTTTTGACTTTATTTGGTTGGCCCAACCTGTCCACCTTGCTTTTATTTGTGGAATCTTGGTAACACGTTCGGTGGTACAGCAAAGACACATCCTCCTAGGGCGCGGCAGAAGCTGCGAGAATCCTCTCTATCCTATGTGCATTTCTTTCATCGTGCAGCGCTTTTCGCTTCTCCGCTGCATAGGTTAAGCTCATTAAGCTTCTCTCACCACTTGTCAAAGATTCATCAGTCGCATTTTGACATATAACACATAATTTGTAGTTCACTTCACAGCGAGCAAGGTGCATGAGAGGCTCCATATTCTTAAAAATCAAACTGTCTGGGAATAATGTCAACTTACGTACCGTATTACGCACCTTAAGAATAGGGATCTGTCACGTCACACATCAAATAGGCGCACGAGTGTTTGAACACTTTTTTCGACACATTTCACAAAAATCGCCACAAACAGAACCTATCTGGCTATAGCAGACGGCAAGGGGAATACACGGAGCCCTGAGCTTCGGGCTTTTGCCGCTGGACGGCAGCACAAATACAAACAAACGGCGAGGGGAATCTTCCGAAACCCCGAGCTTCGAGCTTTCGCCGCTAGACAGCAGCACAAATACAAGCAGAAGCCACGGAGATCCCCAAAGAACTCAAGATGTTATTTAAAATATTTATTCACTTGAAATTATTTACAATATCGAAATATATTTTAAGATCAAAAGAATGCGCGACTTTCAATGTGATTACTATGTTTACCCCTCAAAGTATATTTGTACTATTTTATTCTGGCAAACCTGTGTTAACATGTTTCCTATCGCTTTTCCGACCTCAAATTCGTGTTCAGCGACCTCCAAAACACTTATGGTCATACCCAGCACGTCATAAACTTTTTAAAGTTTGGTATTTGGGCCGCAACCGGTCGCCATCTTGGATTACGGTAATTTCGGTTGCCTAATCGATTTCTGGTGCTAATTTTTGATCTAGTCGACGTCAAAAACATATGTGCCGATACACCGTATTTGACAATATGCCAACTTCTGAAAGTTCTGTATTTAGGCCCCCGACGGCCGCCATCTTAAATTATAGTACTTCCGGTACCTGAATCGACTTCCGTTACTCATATTCATGTTCAGCGAACCCAAAAACATATGAAACGACATCTCGCCGGTCAATAACGAAAAACTTTAAGAAAAATGTCATTTAGGTTCTTAGTTTGGCCGCCCTTTTGGATTTGAGGCTTTTGGAGGCAAAATTCGGCTTGGCAACATCCGGATTGAGCGAGGTCGAAATACCCTAGAAACGTCAAGTTGCCGAATGTCGCACGAAATGCCGCTCGGAGTAAAATTTCTGAAAATGTCCACCAGTCTAATAAAGTACAGCCCCTAGACCGGTCTTTTTTTGGACCATTTAAGAAATATTTCAGCGAGGCAGCAAACTCATGGCTGTTGGCTCATCCAAATAAAACCCTCACAATTTAATTGCCCGAGTTATGATGCTCCAAGGTTTGGGATCGGGCCGATACACCAAAAAATATTAAGTCCGGTTTTCGTGAAAGCGGAATTTTTCCATTCGATAGAAATATTATCCAGGATTACGAATATTTATACTCTTCTGTCTCTGACCGACCACCCCGAGACCCACAAAACCCTGAAATCCCAGTCGAAGACAATCCTCGTAACCCACTCGAAGAAAACCTCGAAAGCCCACCCGAAATTATTGCTACACCCACTGCTGACAGAGCATCTATAGACACTGCAACAGCACCTCCCTCAACCAGTAGCGCTCCAACTCCTACAAACAAATATTTTACTATTTATTTCTCCAGACCAAATAAGCTCCTATCCAAAAGCTGGACCTACAAAAACTACAACAAGAGGAAGAAAATGAGGTAAATGTATGATTGCCACAGACACCCCGGAGAAGGAGGAGCAGGAAAACAAAAAGAAATTGGCAGACTCATAAAAATTGAAACTTGCAAAGGGCAAGGTTTTGGCTGAGAATAATTCAACTGATGATTGATGAAGAGGAAAATGGAATATTAACACAGGACTCTCCATCAGATTGGGAAGAAGAGGACTTCTTCTTCCTAAAAGGCGCTGAAAAAGGCGAATTTATTATAGTAAAAGTCCCTGCAAAAAAAAACATGTCTGAGGAATTATGTTGCTTGCGTAGAACGTAAGCTTTGGGATGGATATGAAGTTCGATTTTACAAGCATTTAAGTCCATCAACCCGCTTTCAGATTACAGAAGAGGACACTTGTTACATAACTTTTGACGAAGTGGCTTCAATGCTGTCGAAAGTAGTTGAAGACAAGCGTCTCCGTTTTAAAAATATGATTTATTTCAACATGAACTTCACTGAATTTAGTTTACGTTGATAAATACCTAATTTTCTCTTTGTTTTGTGCTAAAAATTCAATATAACCATTCCTTTTTTTTTCCAAATATAGTTTTTCTTACACTTTCAAGCTCTTGATTTTGAAATTTCAAACATGTCCAAAATATCCCCGTTCTCTGTCCGTTCTTACCCCAAGCCTGAGGATACAATGGACAACTACAATATAATTTCTTGAAGTGCGTTGGAAAAAAAAAACTATTTATATTCCTGAGAAATTGTTATCTAGCAAAATAATGCTTGTAAGCACAAAACAAGTCATAAAAAAAGTATAGCAAAAATTCATATTTTGTCCAATGTATCCACGGTCCCTTCCACCAGAAAAACTTCAACAACGGTCACCTTCCATGGAAGCCAAGAAGACTGGACTAATACATAGTATGTGCATTGTGCATGGCTATGTAGAACAAACTATAGCAGACTCAGGCCCAGTTGTTCAAAACAAAGTTCAACTGAACTCGACTGTTACTTGAGCTTTTCCATTTGAAATACATGGCTGTCAGCTATTAATCAAATTCTATCAATTTTATCAGCAATGCATTTCAAATGGGGAAGTTCAAGTACCAGTCGACTTCGGCTGAACTTTGTTTTGAAGCAAGATTGTACAACTGGGCCTCAATAAATCACAAACTATTATAAGCTTCAATTTTCTTACCAAAAATATCAAATTCATTCTCAATGGGCTTATATAAAATTTTATATCCTTGAATCATGCCTCCATGCAAATGTGGCGGTGGAAGTTTCCAAGATATTTTTATTATTTGGGAAGAAATTTCCGAACAAATTATATCTTGAGGTGGTGCTTCCGGAACTCCTTCTTTGGTGGTGCCTATAATGCTCGACGAAGATGGACCAATGTCAATACTATTAAATGCACTAATAGTGATGTCATAAGTTGTAAATTTTTTGAGATTATTCAGTTGCAATTTATTTGTAGCCCATCCATTGACTGTTTGGACATTAGTTTTATTAACGGGCCCGTGATGTTCCTTCCAATTAACTTTGTAACCCAGTAATTCCCCATTCCATGTCTCTCTTAAAGGGGCAGCCCACTGAATGAATAACTCAGTGGAGCTAACCGCCTCAACTTTAATTTCTGTTGGTGCTCCGGATGGACGTTCCTCTTGTGTTTTCACCACCATAGCTTCAGTAAAATCGCTTTTATCAATATTATTTACTGCGGATATTCTGATGGTATATACGGTGGCTGGCCTTAGGCCTGTGATAACTGCTTGCTCTATAATTTCGCTGAAAGATAAATTGATACAAACGTTTGCATATAACTTAAATCATAAACTTACCGTGGGTTCGTCACGGATGACATTGTTAAATTTGATATCTGACTTGTATCCCATGTAGACTGTAGATTATCCAATAATTTATATTGGGCGACATACCCAGTGACCGGACTATTTCCGTCAAATGGTCTCCTCCAAGCTAGTTTCACTGATCGCCCCAAAACCTAGATGAAAGTTCTAGATTAAAGAGCTTAGTTTTGCAACTACTTCGCGCCAGAAAAAGAAAACTGAATTTCGAACCATAGATGTCTTTTTTTATTTCAAAAATAGTCCGTAAAATTACCTCAACGGCCTCTAAATGGGTAGGAGGATCGGGTTTCTCCTGAACAGCAAGATTGATGATATGTTCGCTGCGTCCAAAATCATTTTCCGCGATGCACTTGTATATTCCTGAGTCTTCCCTATCAGTCCTACTAATGGTTAACTGAGACTTCATTTCCTTCTCTTCTTTCAAACTAACATGGGAAAACCTGAAACAACCGGTATACAATTAGTGCCAGTTCCCAATGATTGAGAGTTTGGGTTCAGCCGTTGAGTCATTAACAGTTGGTGCTAGATACTCCCCGGCGGCCATATTCTCCAGAGGTTGGAGCCTCAGGCGCGCAGATTATGCCGCCATAGATTTCGACCTCTGTGGAATTTGGATGCATGACCTTGACGTGGTGATGGGGCTTAAAGTCGCTACAGACAACCAACGAGGGGTACTCCCAAGCCAAGGTGGGAGGCATCAAGCCAAGGTGGGTGGCATCGTGCCAAGGGCCGCACGGCATAGGGGCAGCAACATCGCGAACGATTTCTTTGGGGCACCGGGAGGAGCCCCATAGTAATCAGCCCTTATTCCTATACGCGGGGCTCTGTAGGAGTGGACCTAGCTACTCGTGGGAATCTTATGGGTAAGAAAAGAAATAATAACAGGCAGGAACACACTGCTAAAAGTTCACGGGCTACGACCGCTAATGAAGGAGGAAAGACATCTCAGTCAACGCGCAAAGGGAAGGCGACAGTACTTCGGAAAAACCCCGAATTTCGGCCGAAGACCTCCCCGCGCTTCGAGAACAGGGGCCGGGACTCTGTAACGGATAGAGATCATTATCCCTATCGCTATGGCACTTGCTGTGTTCGCTGTTTTGGTAATCAATAGAGAGGGAACGTCAATAGAGATAGAGAAAATATCTCTATTTGTTACAGAATGCCAGCCCAGCAAAGGAGGAGCGTACGCGGTGCAGGCGCTAAGAAGTACCTGACACAGGAGAGGAAGCCAGGGAAAGGGTGGACAAAGAGAAAGAAGAAAGGATGAAGCAACAAATGCTGACTACTGCATCCTCATCTTCTTCCCAAAGTGGAGGACCGCAAAGAAAGCAAGAGGAGGAAACTGTACCCGTCCAAACCCACCGCAACCGCAGCAGCGACTAATAATAATAATAATAATAATAATAATAATAATAATAATAATAATAATGCTTTATCGTCAAAAAAATGTATTACACAATTTGACAAAGCCTCAAATTTGAAAATATATAATATTATATACATCTACTTGTATACAACGTTAAAATAAAATGATATGAAAATAAACAAACATAAAAATGAACAAATTACCTATAAACAATGATCCAGTGTGTGGAACCCTCAAAATTAGGTCAGAAAAAAGTCATTTACTTTATATAAGGCTAATAAAAATGATTTTAGAGCTATGCGGAATTAAGGAAGACATGCTAGGGACTTGATTACTACTGGCAGATGATTGTGCATTTTTTTGCGTTGTATAGAATAGCGCTCTTAATTAACTCGGAGGATGCAGTTGGCAAATAAAGATCATGTTCCGCGTTTCTAAGTGGATAGTTAGGCAGTGGCCTTTCTGAAATACTGGGGAGGTGTTCGAGGATTAGGCAGACTGATTCTAGTATGAAAAGGGAAGGGAATGTTAATGTTTTATATTTTTTTGGAAAGGATCTTAGCAATGGGCTGCATTTTTTAATTTCAGGGAATATCTGATAGTTCTTTTTTACAATTTAAAAATACGCTCTAATTGAGTCGCTCAACACGAACCCCAGAATGGGAGGGCGTATCGAAGATGTGATTCGAAAAGGGCAAAGTACACTATTCTAGAAGTCGACAAGTTAAGTTCCTTGGAAACTGATCTCATCGCAAAACAAGCGGAACTTAATTTTTTTGATAAAGAATCGATGTGCGAGTTCCATTTCAGGGAGTTGTCTATAATAAGGCCCAAAAACTTTACGGAATCAACGACGTCAATAGTAGAAGTGTTATTAAGTACAATAGGTTTCAACGTACTTCTATATGACAGTACTTCACTTTTCGCAGCGTTGAAGCAGAGAAGGTGAGAGTCGCACCATGATTTAATGGCTAACAAGTCGATGGACATGGTTCTATGAAGAGCTACAATATACGGGTTGCTCCAAGTGAAACTAGTATCATCAGCAAAAAGACAGATTTTACCGCTGATGTCTAGACTAGCAATGTTGTTGATAAACAGCAAAAATAATATTGGACCCAACACGGAACCCTGTGGAACCCCACATTCTATTGGCTTGCATGAAGACATCGTCGTATCAACCCTCACAAGCTGTTTTCTGTTGTTAAGATACGACTTGAACCATTCCAGAGGAGAGCCTCGAATTCCATATTACTGCAATTTGTTAATTAGGATATTATGACTTACACAGTCGAATGCTTTAAAAAAATCACAGAAAATTGATACTGTGGGGTGCAAATTGGTCAGGCTAGAAAAGACATTATTGAAGACAAAGAACATAGCATCATTAGTGCATTTGTTGGTTAAAAATCCAATTTGGTGAATATTTACTATATTATATTTATGCAGAAATGATAGAAGCCTTTTCTTAACCAATCTTTCAATAATTTTGGATAAAGTGGGAGGAAGTGCAATTAGACGATAGTTCGACGCTTGGTCCTTATCACCTCCCTTGTTACGCCATCTTGAGGCAATCTGGGAACACTCCTTGTTGACAAGATTTATTTATTAAAGCAGTGAGGAGATTTAATGTACATTCCGGTGAATTGAAAAACATTTTTAAAGTGAGTCCATCAGTCCCAGATGACACTTATTTTTGATGTGTTTAATTGTGGTGCAAAGCTCTGGTGTTTCTACGGATGGTATTTTTCCGTTTCCTATACAGCCAGCGCGATTGATCGCTCTCACCCGCTAGGAAACGGAATGCTACATTTAGCACTCCATTTCCTAGCAGGTATGCGCGAGTCTCTGCAGTCTGAATGCATGACTCCCTGCGCCGTCACCGTTCTTGTGTTATCATTGGTTGTAGAAGAAATGCGTTCTGTGGTATATTTAGAGCTACTTTGACGGCATTGTTTTATTTGTTTTTGTCTATGTAATGCGTAGTCAGTGAAGACCAGAGGGTAGTAGGTATTTGATTTGTGGTATATTTAGAAAGGTGATAAAAATGAATCTTGAACAGATGAAAAATGCGTTAGACCAAGTTCGTGTTAATTATAAAGTAATATCGAATAAAACTAATAACTCAGAAGTGACTGTCAGAACCTGCTTTATTCGAAATGATGACGAGACATGGGACGATAGTTGTACGAGGTGGATCAAAACATTTTCGAAATTAACGTCCACGGACTGGATAGTAGAAAGAACCAAGCACCTACAATAAGTTAAAGCAGTTAGAATATAGAAAAGATTATGTTTGCCAACACAGTGAAAAAAATAAGACGCGCAAGAAGGGCACGACAAGAAATCGAAATAAACGTATTACACAGCGAAAATCGTTATCAAAGTAAAAAAAAAAACAATAAAGATACCAGGTACAGAAATGCGTATCTAAAAGAAGGATTAGATACTCTGATTGTGGTAAGTATAGTAAAATTCTGTTTGTATCACTTTAACAAACTGAGCTTATGAGGCATCAGGCCGTATTTATAAAAATTAAGTATTTCCTTCAAAGGTAAAGGTAGAAGTAAAAGGAAGAGGTCACAAGGAGAAGCTAGAAGGAAAAGGTTTTGCTTTATTTCGTATTCATAATCTTTTCCTTTTCTTTGCAAGCAAATACTCGCAAAAAAAAAGGAAAAGGTAGACAGAGGCAATTGATATATTTATATTATCGTCCGCCCCATGATTTCATAAGCAGAAGAATTTTTCCAAATTCGACTGTCATGTACGGAGCCGGGCCACCGTGCATCGATAATCATGAAATAGTATATTTCCTAACTAGTGCGGAAAGTAACACTTTTCCGCACGCGATTGCAGTTTCCCGAACGATGCGCAGTGGAGTTCGGCAAGCAATCAAGTGCGGAAAAGAGACCTTTCGCCTACTTTTCCGCACTCAGTGCGGAAAAATAGCGGAAAAGCACTAGTCCGGAAAATTGGTACTTTCATGACCTAAAATGCATGCGGAAAAGTACACTTTTCCGCACGCTTGTAGAAAAACGTAATTTTGATCACATATGGCTTGAACAATGGGTCTGTTCGCACAGAAATCACAAACCAATCAGAGCGAACTTCACTGGTTGAAAACAGTCAGAAACAGTCAGAAAATTAGGTCCAATCAATGAAATTCACTCTGACTGGTTTGTTGTCGTGCAATCGATAGCTTCTATTGCAGTCGGGAAGTTTTTACTCGCTGCCCATTTCACTTTGCGGCTTCCATAACTTCATTTTCGGAAGATGGGAACTTGTTCCATTCATTCACCCTATCCACAATGAGGTCGAGAGTGGTATCGACGATTTTGGAGACTGTAGGCTGTGTACATTCCAGTTGCTCACCGATACCGCTCTGGAAACCCGAATCTACCATGTACCGTAAGACTACTTTCATTTTTTGTACTGGTGAAAGCGCACCTTCCATGATTTCCAGATTCTCGCCAATGAAGTAGTTGGCTAACCACTGCTCGTTTATTTCGTCAAACCGAAAGAGTCCTAGGAAATCTCCCTGTCGTAGAGTACGTCTTTCTTTGCACACTTTCTGCGCTCGTACGTGCACCTTATCCGTCATGGGAAATTCAAAATCATGATCGCACTCGAAAACTAAATACCTTCGCCCTACAAATGCATATAAACGAATGAAGTGGAGAATACTTTGCAACAGAAGCTGCTCTGTAGTAGATGCATATTTTCTGAAGCAAATCCTTCAGTTTTAAAGCAAATGCTGCTGTTTATGAATACTGAAAAAGTGAAACCTTCTCCTTTAGAGCAATACCTTTTTGCTAGAAGTCCAAATATTTTCCTTCTTTTTTTTATGAATAGAATATGAAGTGAATGCTTCGATTTCTGCAAGTAAAAGCAAGTCCTCTTTTTTATAAATACGGCCTATCGTTTGGGCAAAAACAAAACGTCTTGCGACATACTAGACGTTTATGGAAAATGTAATCGTGAAAAAATGTTTTGAGATTTTTATCTAAATATCCGTTTTGGGGGTTATAAAGACAAATTAATATATTTCCCCAATTTCGTCGATGTGTGTCTGTT